GGGATGAAGTTTTTTACGATCGAAAGTCTTAAAATGCCTCAATAAAGAGTAACGTTCGTGGAATCCTCGAAAAAAAATCGATCAGTACGATGGATCGTCGATCAGTACGCATCCGGACGTCCGGCTGGCCGAGGAAATAGTATGTGCCGAACCAACTTTTGAAAATCATCGTACGGGATGAAGTTTTTTACGATCGAAAGTCTTAAAATGCCTCAATAAAGAGTAACGTTCGTGGAATCCTCGAAAAAAAATCGATCAGTACGATGGATCGTCGATCAGTACGCATCCGGACGTCCGGCTGGCCGAGGAAATAGTAAGTCACGAACCAACTTTTGAAAATCATCGTACGGGATGAAGTTTTTTACGATCGAAAGTCTTAAAATGCCTCAATAAAGAGTAACGTTCGTGGAATCCTCGAAAAAAAAAAGATCAGTACGATGGATCGTCGATCAGTACGCATCCGGACGTCCGGCTGGCCGAGGAAATACTATGTGCCGAACAAACTTTTGAAAATCATCGTACGGGATGAAGTTTTTTACGATCGAAAGTCTTAAAATGCCTCAATAAAGAGTAACGTTCGTGGAATCCTCGAAAAAAAATCGATCAGTACGATGGATCGTCGATCAGTACGCATCCGGACGTCCGGCTGGCCGAGGAAATAGTAAGTCACGAACCAACTTTTGAAAATCATCGGACGGGATGAAGTTTTTTACGATCGAAAGTCTTAAAATGCCTCAATAAAGAGTAACGTTCGTGGAATCCTCGAAAAATAATCGATCAGTACGATGGATCGTCGATCAGTACGCATCCGGACGTCCGGCTGGCCGAGGAAATAGTAAGTCACGAACCAACTTTTGAAAATCATCGGACGGGATGAAGTTTTTTACGATCGAAAGTCTTAAAATGCCTCAATAAAGAGTAACGTTCGTGGAATCCTCGAAAAAAAAAAGATCAGTACGATGGATCGTCGATCAGTACGCATCCGGACGTCCGGCTGGCCGAGGAAATACTATGTGCCGAACAAACTTTTGAAAATCATCGTACGGGATGAAGTTTTTTACGATCGAAAGTCTTAAAATGCCTCAATAAAGAGTAACGTTCGTGGAATCCTCGAAAAAAAATCGATCAGTACGATGGATCGTCGATCAGTACGCATCCGGACGTCCGGCTGGCCGAGGAAATAGTAAGTCACGAACCAACTTTTGAAAATCATCGGACGGGATGAAGTTTTTTACGATCGAAAGTCTTAAAATGCCTCAATAAAGAGTAACGTTCGTGGAATCCTCGAAAAAAAATCGATCAGTACGATGGATCGTCGATCAGTACGCATCCGGACGTCCGGCTGGCCGAGGAAATAGTAAGTCACGAACCAACTTTTGAAAATCATCGGACGGGATGAAGTTTTTTACGATCGAAAGTCTTAAAATGCCTCAATAAAGAGTAACGTTCGTGGAATCCTCGAAAAAAAATCGATCAGTACGATGGATCGTCGATCAGTACGCATCCGGACGTCCGGCTGGCCGAGGAAAGTGTATGTGCCGAACCAACTTTTGAAATTCATCGTACGGGATGAAGTTTTTTACGATCGAAAGTCTTAAAATGCCTCAATAAAGAGTAACGTTCGTGGAATCCTCGAAAAAAAATCGATCAGTACGATGGATCGTCGATAAGTACGCATCCGGACGTCCGGATGGCCGAGGAAATAGTATGTGCCGAACCAAATTTTGAAATTCATCGTACGGGATGCATTTTTTTACGATCGAAATGTTGTAAAACTCTTAGTTGTATTGAATAATGAATGAGGTTCGATACATATATATACATGTTGAGAGGAGACAAATCCTCATTGGGTTAGTAAACCCTAAAGCCCAAAAGCCCACTAAGTACAATATAGACCGTCATAAGGAGAATCTTCTAGAACATGGGCCTGGGCCTTCAAGGACATGGACATGGGCCTTCTAGAATATGGATTAGGCCCACGGTTATGGAGTCCATCCAATATGTGATTTATAACACTCCCCCTTGGATGACATAACCGTGTAGATGCCAAAGGATCTCAGTAATACGCTTGGGGATGCTGCCTCATTAAAACCTTACAAGGAAAACCCATTGGGACAAAACCATGGTGAAGGAAAAAGAGTACAGCACGTATTACTCCCCCTGATTTGGTCATCCCTGTAAGTCCTTAAGTCTCCGCATTCCAATTTGATGCGTGAGTTTCCTCAATGTCGATGTTGGTAATGCCTTGGTGAAGAGATCGGCTGAGTTGTCGCTGGACCGAACTTGTACCACTCGAACTTCTCCATCCCTTTGCAAGTCATGCGTGAAGAAGAACTTTGGTAGAATGTGCTTCGTCCGATCTCCCTTGATGTAGCTGTCTTTGAGTTGAGCAATTACAGGCTGCGTTGTCTTCAAATATGATGGTCTTTGATGTTGTAGTAGCTGCGTCTTGAAGAAGACTGCCTACGTACCCTTGGAAGGGATCAAGCCACACGTAGTT